GGAGATGACTCTGGCCTTCACTACCTGTAGATGATACTACAACCCAACTGACATTACTCGATTATACCATTTATTTCATTATTTATTCAGCGAAGAGGAGAATGCAAAACAAGTTTATCTTGCGAAATCATAATAGTTATGAGGGAAAAACAGAAATATAGAGTGAAAGATTAGAAGACATCGTTAGATGAAAGAAAGATACAATCGTCCAAAAAAAGCTGACTTTCTAAATTAAGCTAAACTTTTGATACCTAGAAGCAAGTCAGCTCTACAGCAATCGACATTCTGTGTTATCAGCAATATTCTGAACAAATATAAAAAGAGTTTCTAAAAGAAATTTATACCTATATTCCAATAACCAATACATAGATGTTGAACTCCTTACCACAAAAAATGCAGGAAGCGAAAGTACACTAATGAGAACCACCGGGATATTATGTATCAAATATGATTATTAAGCATCAAACTATTACTTTATAAAACCAGTATTTGCGCATAAACTACATCTGCAAAAACAGAAACAACACATAAAGCACACCAAAAGTGACGGCAAGAAAGATGACTTTAAAAAGTATCAGATGTATCAGATATCAGTGATACAGCCAACTTCTGCTACTACCGTTTTTCCGATGACGAAACTAGAGGAATAAACTTCAAAAATTTTCTTTTATTTCTATGAATCTTTTCGAAAGACGTTTCTGTTCACATACAATTTTCTGGAATAGGAAGTTTTAAAAAATACTGCTGATAAACGACCGATTACTTAACTTTCTATAGGAAAAAAAGTTTAAATGAAGTATTTCTCTCTTTACACCCTTTGATCCACAAACAACCCTTTTTTCGCCAACGCTACTGAAACATTCGTTGCTGCAATATTTACAAAGGATAATAAACTAAACTGAAAGCTTACCTGTTCGACGTCAATAGTGTTCATATTGAGCGGGCGATAACCTTTTTGACTCCAAACCCACGTGAAGTTGTCGTTAAGAATTGTATGCCGGCAAGCGTAAATCATGAATAGTATAACAACACATGCTGACGGGATTATGAGCACAAAGAAAGCGACTGATTCCTGAAATATACGATTAGCCAAGTCTCTGAAAACCGTCCACGGAAGCAACTAACCAGATAAGAAGTTTTAGATATGTAACTACCTAGCTCAGGGTATCTCCATGATTTATGAGAATCGGCCGATTTAAACATCCGATCCTTATGATGCTTATGAGATTGGCCGATCAAGGTTGCGGGACGGTCGCGGTTGTAAAGCGGAACGATATACCAGCCGAAACCCACCATCTAAGCATGCAATTTTCCGCAGTTTTGCTTGATTTCCTTTTGCAAGCAACGCGGAGTCTTCGTTATAGAACAAGTGCGCCAGCAATGCGTGGCAACAAAGGGATAAGTATTTTAGCCATACCTACTTGGAGCACATCTATGAAAAAATGAACTGTAAGCTTAAATCTTCAGCTCTATTAGCAACTTTTTCAAAATTTCCAGCAACCTTTAATTGATTCAAACAATTTGAATTCGCAAAAGAACTTGGATTTGTGAAAGTGGATTAACAAAATTTTCATTGAATGTTGCAATAAAGGCATTAAGTCAAAACGAAGTGTATGAAAACTTATATGGGGGTTGGAATGTATATCAGTGGAAATCTCTTCCTTTTCTGGAAAGCACCTGCGAACACTTATTACACAAGACAACGATGATTCGCTTACAGAAGAAAATCAAACCGAACTCAAAAAAGAAAGTATGGCAAGTTAGACGGCTATGCTACATTGGCATTGTTCTTTGTCGCAACACAACTACGTCGCAATTATAGCGGTCAGCCGATTCTTACTGCATAAGCGCTATAAGGAACGGTTGACAGTTATACAATATGGAGATACCCTCATTATTCTATTATACATCATGGTGTTATTCAAAACTCAACATAATCAAAAGTCATTCCCATACTTTACATTTTATCCGCTGATAAAAAGCACGAAATTTGTTGGAACTAAGAGTAAGGATGAGACGGTTCACACTTGACAATTAAGTCAGGAGATTCCGCACTTTTAAAAAAGCATTCTTAGCTTGATGATAAGAAAGCGCTGCTGCAAATAAAACAGACTTACAAATAGCATCCCTGGTGTCTGCAAAATAATCTGGTTGGCGCGAAGTGCTTTGGACAAAATGACCAAGGAAGAGTTACTCGGCGCAGGAGGAACCCCCAATACATGACACATGAATTGGTAGAGATCGATGTTTTCAGGTATTTCTTCGTACTAAACAACAAATGTTTCATTCTGTGAATAAACGAAATGAACGTCATATAAATAGCAAAACTTACTCGTTTGCCGGAAATCACTGAGGGCCCACCAATGACCAGAAAAGCACGCATTTCCTTACGACCTGGATCCATACCATGCGTGGAAGAATTGAACTTGACATTACCTGGAGCATACGTCCTAAACTGAGATACTTTGTAAAAACAAAATGTGAAAGCAACGCAGAACATACTTTAGAAGTTTTTCTGTTTTACAAGAAAGCGAAGCCGCCCATCCAACTGCCGGCTCGATCACTATGCGACCAATACGAGAAGAGTTCGAGTAGTAAAATCGCTTTGGAATGTTCTATAATCCAAAACATAGATATAGAAAACTAGATAATCACCGCACAGATACATAGAGCTAAAACTTTTTTTT